ATTAAAAAAAAATTAAAAATACCTTGCAAATCAAGAATGGAATCATCTACTTTGTTTTTTTTCTTCCCTCAGAAAATTTAGGCTGTCCTCATGCTTCTTGATTTTCATCCCCAACATTTGCAGATCACCTTGAAGTTTCTACAGGCACTTGTAATTATGGGATAAGTTTGTGATATGTATACCACTAAATCCATATCAGGAAACGTAATTAAAGGGTATATCTAGGATCAGGATTCCATGAAATTCCATAGCTCAAATTTCTAATCATCCCAGTTATTCACTCCCATAGATTGAATCTATGGCTTTCATCATACAACAGAGGGAAAGTGAAGGACCAGAGGTGATAGAGTCCATATGAAAGAGTGAAATTCAATTGAAATGCTGACGTGGCTTTTATTTAACAGTGGATATTCAACCTACGGCAATATACAGCTGAGATGGTGAGAGTGAGAAATTTACAGCATCAATTTCTGAAGGAATTTCAAAGGATCCAAATCTGTATATATCCAAAAGAATATATGATAAAGTAATTTGATTAACCAACAACCGGTGAAAAACTATCATCCTTTTCTACTGAAAGCAATAAAAAATGATATGACAACATTAGACATCCACAACCTGAGAATGCTGGATGATGGACTCTGCCTGTGAAAAACCTCCATTTTGCACATCATTGTTTACATCTATAGTGGTTTCATTCAAGTCAACTTTCACCAATGCTTTGGAATTTTGGACGGCCAGAAGCTGCATAAGTAGATGTTAATTGCTTGTATAAATTCAGATGATGTTTGCAATGGGGAAAATTATTGTTTGAACTCATAAACAGCCTAACTCCTAAAATCTCAAGCACAAGCTAAACATTTTAATAAAGTGATACCATAAAGGATTGGATAACGTGTGATAGACACCCTTTTCCTTTATTTTATTTAATAGTGCAACGGAAATATTTAGGAACCTGGAAGAAAACTATCCCGATATTGATGGGGTAATGCATGTCAATATATATTTAAAAAAAAAAAAAATTAACTCCCTGGCATCCAAGAAAAGCAGACAATGTTGATTATGACAAACCAAATTGAGCTTCAAAACAATGGTAAAAAGCAAATGAATTTGCCGTCAGCAGTGCACTTTTTCTGGAGCGTGTGGCATGGGTGAGAGAGAAAGAGAGAGATCAATTCAATAGTCAATGAATATAAGTTACCCGTTTGGACAGAGTTTTATGTGATTATATGCTGATGAGGAAAGATAATAATATTTCACTCAAAAAGAAGAAGAAGAAGAAGATAATGTCGTCCAACATGTTGCAACCATTACCTACAATGACCATAATAAAATGGAACCTTAAAATCAACATTTAATTTCTGTCACGGTATAGGTTTGGGGTTCCACTGTTCAAACCAATAACTGAAACTGTTCAAGTCCCGCAATTCAAACCACCGACTGATACCAGATTCATTGGCATTACTGACAACAATCATGCCGCAGCCACCCAATGAATATCGAATGCAAAACTTCCCATGCAACAGGTAGTTTTGGAGAAACAGTACAAGCGTTGGGCGATTCACCATTTTCCTTGGATTCAGTTTACCAAGGAAAAGGTTTCCGTAACTCACATTTATCTGATGAAATATCCCCAAATCGTAATGATGACAAAACCAGGATTATTCAATGTGCAATTAAAACTTCTATCATAAAACTTTCTCAATAGCATCTCCCAGACCATTCCAGTGTATGTTGATACGGTAGTTGTCAGTTAAACAAACTTTATTTTCTACTTTTTGTTATGGCACAATCAAGAATAGCCCCAAAATTGAGGAGTAAGAAAATAGAAAAACCGCCATTGCTGAACAAAATTGTTTCTTTGATGATTTTCCGAGCATTCCAAATGATAAAAATGGTCCAAAAAAACATGACTTCTCTTTGCGGGACCCCATCAAGTCAGTTTAAAAAAAAAAAAAAAACAGAGAAAACTACACGAATCACTCGATACAGGATACGATTGGCATCTGAATCTGGTGCACCGATTGACCCGTTCACGGATTGATAATCTCTGAAGATTAAAAACAGACATGCATTGCAAGCCCTAAGTTTCGCCTGGTTTGGGAGAAATTCGGGGGAAAGAAAGAGGAAGAGAAGTGAACAGTAATAATTGGACACCAAGATGAAATTCGAAGCTGAAGTAGAGTGGTGGTAGCTAAATAACAGATGGAGATGAAATTGGAAAATGACGAAGAGAGATGGAGAAATGCACCTTGTGGGAGGGCTGATACATGACTGAAGACTGGAATATGCGGACTGGGTCTGGGTGTGCTCGTTCTTTGCGGTATGCAGCTCTAAACTTCCAAGTACGAAGAGATGGGTTTCTCTCCGTTACTTCGGTTTCTCTCCTTTATTTTCTTTCTCTTTTTTTTTTTTTACTGTAAATCTAAACTGTTTGAATTAATTGTTTTAAAAAAAGTTATTAAATTTAAGTTATCAAATGTAATTTAACAATTCAAATTTACAGTGAACTCTCCTTTGTTCTCTCCATCGGTCAGCGATCGTCCCTCGCGCCTATAAACGCAAAGCGTCTCTCGCCTTCTCAGCACGCCCTTATAACGTACTGTCAACCCTAAGGGGAGCCGCGAAAAAAACTGTTAAATTAAATGCTGTCATAAATTCATAATTCAACGAATAAATATTTGATTTAGTATATAATACTCACCCCGTCATTTTATATAAGAATCTTACAAAATTTAGGGAGATATTAATAATGTGTGATTTTCACAAATATTTTTGATAAATTCAACTCCCTACTATCTCTCATTAATCAAAATGAAGATTGATAGGGTGTTCCTATAAAAAAAAAGTTATTTTTTTTTTTTTTTTGGCCAACAGAGGATTGCCTTTTTTAAATGCATTTGGAAATGTTACAATTATTATTTACAAAATAAAATTTTCAAGTAATTTTAACTGCATCCATTAATTTACGTGATTCAGTTAAAAAGTTCTTATAAAAAAGTATATTTTATTTATTTAAAAATGTAAGACATTTTTTGAGGAGTTAAATGTTAAAAAATAAAGGTATTTTTAATCTTTTGAGATTTAATCATTACCCTTTTTTAAAAGTACTCCTATTGATAATGATTTTATATTTATTGTAGAGTATTTAATAGAGGTAAATATGAAAAGAATAGGATTAGTTGAAAGTATGTAATTACTTTATTGGAGATAAAATTCGATTAAATACCTTACATTTTTAAATGGAGGGAGTATTATATTATTTATGAATAAGTAAAACATGGTTATGTTATTAAAAAATTAATGACTCATAAATATTTACATTATTATTTATTAATATCGATTTTTTGGTGAGATATAAAATTATTATACTTATAAAACATTTTAGTGTTTTTTGTAATTTTTTTTGCTGACATGACTATTATGGTCCTAGGAAGAAACAAAGAAATTAAGATAGTTAAAAAAAAAAAAACAACCCTTATTTATTTACCAGCTCAAATGTGATATAGTGCCAGTGTGTTGCAATTTTTTAATTGAATAGATTATAATTGTATTTGTTTTCCATAATTAGAGGAAAAGAGAAAGAAAAGGATAAACAGATGGGTCAAACATTAAAAATATGAAGCATTTTTTTAAGTTAAATGCTCAAATTATAAGATATTTTTGTTTTAATTTTTAAATGTGTAATTAATAAATTTTTTAAATATTATTAATAAATAAATTAATTAATTATTCACTTTTAAGTAAGACCCCTATTAAATAAAAACAAACATAAAAAATGATATAAATTTTAAAAAAATTAACTAATTTGTTAAAGGTATGATTTAATAAAAAATAATTTATATTTTTTAAGGAAAGAAATATGTTCATATAATTATATATTCCTTCTCTTTCTTTCTTTCCATTTCACACTGTTTATTACAATCAATGAGAGGGATATCTTTGCATGCGGTCCATTTGTCAATCGATTTAAATTTTGAGGTGAAAGATTGCAATTGTCAATTTGACAGCACTGATTTATAAACTTGAGTTTTTTTTTTCCAATGAAAAAAAATCTTCGTATTAAGAACAATAAACGAAGTCCCAAAATATTCACATTCTAAACTTGATCATTAGCTTGGTTTTTTAGGTGGAGCTTGATTATTAACTTTTGACAGTGAAAACACAGATTCAATATGAAGAAAGTTACATGAACATGAATTCTTTTTCCTACTTATTTTAAATATATTTTCTTTTGGTTACGAAATTATCATGATGATTTAGTGGTATCATTACACTCAACTGACTGACATCTTCTTAAATTTAATCATCTTAATTTCATGATAGATGTTGTTTTTTTTAAAGAGTTCATTGCTAGAAAATTTGATATAATGATCAATTTCATAAAATATAAATGATTACATAGGAAATTAAGTTAACTTAGAGTCAGTGAGGGCAGTTGAAAATGGAGTTTTTGGCCTCAAAGCTCAAGACTAGCAATGACAAGTTTAAAATAGTGTAGAACATGAAGTGCAAATAAAATTATGCAAGTTAAATGCTCAACATTTTACCCACAAGCGCTTGATTCAATTAGTAAGAATCATATTAGCTTCATCAGAAGTTTCAAATTCAAATCCTAAAAATATAATAACGTTTAGTGGTAGAGCACCTAAAATGATCCCGACTTGGCCCAATCCAAATAAGTATGAGCTGATAATTTTGGACACCAGATTATTTATTATATAAAAGGGGGGGGGAGAGAGAGAGAGAGAGAGAGAGAGAGAGAGAGAGAAGCTCCCATACTCTCTACTACCAAGTAGTCGGCAAGTTTGATAAGTCCTGAGCTACAGAATTTGACCCAAAATGCTCTACATAAATTAATGCGTGCTCTATAGCAATAAATGTTCAAAACCCGCTATGCAAAAGCTATATAATGCATATTCAATATTCAGAGTGGCAGTCTTTTTTTTCCTTGTCAACCATATTCACAGGAGCTTATTCATGTAAAATTGAGCTGTCCGTTATACTGGGTTTATATTCAACAATTGGTTTTCGATCATAGGCCCCGAGTCATCCATAATCTTCCCATATCGGCGTTGTCTTCTGCGGAACTTCTTCAGGTGCTTATCGTGCAATTCAATCACATTTCTTATATCATCCTCAAGGCCCGTTAACTTATCCCTCAGTTCCCCAATCTTAGCTATCATTTTTCTAGTCTCTGGAGTGGCAAGCACCGGACTCTCAAGAGGAAAGCATATTGAAGGATTCCTGCAGGAAAGAATGAGTAAAGTGAGTTATAGTTCACTATCATCCTTGTCATATCACAAACATCTGGAGAACTGAATACAGATGCTACTTGGAATTAGATTTGAATCATCATGTTAATGACAAATCTCCATCAATGTCAAATCCGAACACTTGTTCACTGTAAGTCAAGGGGCATTTTCCGTTTTCGCTCACACCTCAACAACACATCACCCACTGGAGAGTATTGAACACATAAATGACAAGAAATAGAAGCAGGATAAACACCTATGGACATAGTGAAGAACAGATTTAGAATCTGGCTTGAAAAGCGATAAGTTGCATTCAGTGCCTCATCAAATTAGAATGACAGATTAAGAAATGGACAAATAGATGGGATGACAATTCAAGATCGCGCTTCCTTGATTCAGTCATTCCAATTTCGTTAACTCATTTAGTTTTCCTCCCTACAGAAATAAAAATATTTAGAAGCATGAAAAAAAGAAAAACACATGGTCACAAACACTAAATGTAGGCTCTGAACAAGATATATGGCATGAAATGCATGACAGCTGGATAATATACATACACACAACAGCCAGAGAGATATATACCCGTAACCAAGAGAGATTAGTCCACGTTCTCTTACAATGCCGCCATCTAGTGAAACAGCTCCATCCTCTATACAGGCACGAGCAGCCATCATATGCTCCCTTGTTTCATAAACTTGGAGCTTCCTGAATAGACTGAAAAGCACAGTCTCCCGGAGACCATGTCCCGTAGAAGTCCTTGTTTGCAAATGATGATCATCCAGCTCAATCATATTAACAGCATAACCCAAAAAACCTGCCGGCATACTGCCATTTGGCAAAGTAGGATATGGCAAGGTCAGCTTCCTCTGAGGGTCATGTCCTTGGCAACGCCCATTGTAAGGCCTGTCATGTACATATGCATGGGCATAACACTTTAAAATGCAGGAAAAAAAACATAGAAATTTGGCCCCAGCTCCCAGACTTGTGTGTTTCACGCTTTCATTGAAAAAGATAATCCATACAACAATTTTTTTTTAAAAATGCAAAGCTCACATTACCTTATATCTCTTCAAGGCACAAAACAAGGAAACGCCTACATATAACTTTTCCAAGTGTGGCTGCTTCAGCATGTAAAGCAAGTGTAGAATCAACTTCTCCACTTTGTGTATACCTCTCAAGAGCACTTGCAGCATCAAAGGTTCTACAAACGACAGACAGCATCTTATCTTCTCCAAGATACTCTGCTAATATTCTGCAGACAAGATACTTAGAACATGGTTAGAAGTAGATAGAAATAATTTTCCTCTATATCAGCAACGAGAGAAACAATGAAGGTAAAAGAGCAAGACCTGCTAAGCTCAGGGCTCTGAACAGTACCAAGAAGTGCAACCAGGTTTATTATATCGTTCATGATAGACTTCTGTGGCATTTGGTTCGGCAAGAGACTGCAGATAACAGCAGCTGCTGAGTTTTCCATGCATTGTATTCTTTCCTTCAGTTCATCTTTGGTGAATAGACCATTTATATTACTCAATTGACGAGGACCAACCTTTTCTGTGAATTAAGATAAGCACAATCAACTGGGTCATTGCTTTATTTTCCATCAACTTCTTAGATCAATGAGTCATAAAGAACCAAGCATAATCCATGCAGAAACGCACAAGAGCACAGGTGCAACAATTGAGACGGAAAGGCCCAAAATGCAAAAGGACTATTTAGGAAAATTATTGTAGACATTATCTATGTAGAGTATAATGGTGTCGTATAATTTATATAATTGATCCTACCTAGTAGAATAAGACTTCTTCTTGTTGTTGTTGGATCTAAATTATATTGACTTTAATTGCCAAAATGCCCTAAATAAGGTTTTTTTTAAACAAAAATTACAACATCAATGATGAAACTAGATGTGATATATTACTTTCAATTTGATTACTCAAAAAAATTACACATTTTTTTGGAGCTGTTAACTGTTAAGTATAATTTGTTTGTGATTAGCTATATATATATACATAGAGAGAACCTTGCAACTCCAACACCTCTTGCTCTGTTTTAGCCTTGAGATTATTAAGATCAAGAAGCGTCGTTTCAATTTGTCCAATATCTTGACCAATCTTGAGGATGTCTTGAAGTTCCTGCAAAATAGATGCATCTTAATACACAACTACAGTTGCGACAGAAGATGGAATTTAATGCAATTAACATTTCCATATCTTCTTTCCATATAGTATTGTCAAAAATGGAAGTAAAGCATGTTATCCGTTTGTCAAAAAGTAGATCAAGTAAAGTCTGTAAACTGCAGGCAACAATTGACATTCTTTATCGATAATCTGACTTATAATACTTTGCAATGTGTGTTAACTTGAACAAAATTTAATGAGTTGTTTACTTAATAGTTTTTTAAAAAAATTGATGGATTCTTTCATGTTCATCAGCTTGATATGTTTGTCTTTGGTTAGAGAAAAGTGCGCGCGCGCGTAAATTGGTTTCGTCAACATCATTTCATCTTATGCATGTGAGCTCCACTTTCAATTTTTTTTTTATTGCAACTAGACTAAACATACCAATATAAAGATCGATAAAGAATTTTAAGCATGATCCTTTTTATGTTATTATTGAATTCAATTAGGATCAATATAAATTAAAATAGAAAAAAATATGGTCATTGATTCCTACACTTTTAGCATGTTTTGAATAGTCTTGTTTCAGTTACGATATTTTTAAATATGACAACAGTGTCAGATAATTCAATGGAAACAAATACTCGATCCCAAACAAGATATTTAATTCCATTAAACAAGTTTATCGTATGAGCTTCGTGCTGTTGAAACACAGACCACCTCCCATTCCATCTAGAACGTCTACGTAAAAGGGTAAAAACATAGCTGAAAATATTTCTTGTACCTCATCCTCTTTACAAAGGAGATCACTAAGTTCTTATCTTGATTAAATGATGACAAGTCCTCCAGTTGCATCATCCTCTATCTAAATATGGAAATTGGCTGTCATCATGCTCCACTTTGGAGCGTTTGCAATAGGGACCTGCACCCAAGTCCAACCAATTATACCATAGCATTTGGTTAAAATTTAGAGAAGATATTATTTTTCCAACCTCAACAGTTAGTTTAGCTCTGGATACTGAGAGTGAGCGGCTGAAAAGCAAAAGGTCTTTCATCTGGTGGAATGGATATCGCATGGACAGTGCAGCACCCGTGCTCGAAAGTGTATTGGATAAATTCCTGGCTTGAATAGACACTGACTTGATTATAAGCATATGAGATTGGCCATCTTTATCATTGTGATGAATATCCATATCCACATCTCCATCAGGATCAACAACTTCAAAAACAAGGTTTTCCAATTGACCGCCAGCAATACAGATATCAGGCAACTGAAAAGCATGCATATAAAATTGTTCTTAAATGACAACGAAAAAATGCACATATTTAAAACCACTAGAAATAGAACATATAAATCGTCAATATGCAACATTTTCAAAACCAACCTTGGATGCGATTCTCAATTTCCTCCTCACAGTCGAAAATTTCTGCTCAAAAACTATTTTGTCTTCAAACAGAACAGATAGGGATGCTGTACAATGTAGAACGCAAATGAGACTAGAAGTAACAAAAAACAACCGCACTAATCATTGAACAGCCATGAATACCTTTCTTTCAATGAGAAACAGCCATGGCATTTTGATAGAGCTGGTGATTCCCTAAAGATTTGGACATCATTTCCTAAGGCGTATGGAAAACAATCTAGGAAGGGAAGTGATTTAAGAGAAGACTAATACCAGTAGTCAAGAGATTTATACCCAGGTTTACAACTGTCAGATTAAAATGGTAAAAGACAAGTCAGGTTAGGTGTAGCCAGAGGTATGGCAGTGTTTGTAAGGTAATGACTACTTTCTGGGGTGTAAGATTCATCCTTTCTGAGAAGGGGTGAGAGGGTTCAGTCTCTTGAAGAGGAACTGTGTTGGGAGAGTTCTGGCCTCTCGAAAGTCCAGAGTCTGTGTCTTTTGCTTTGTTCTTATTTTGTAATTGTTATTTTGATTGTAATTTCAGTATCTGGGTGTCAAAAGAGTCGTGGGTTAGGCTTGAGTTCCGTCGTAATCTGTTTTAGTTGTGCAGTAAAAGGTACTATCCATCCCAAGTTAAATTCCATTTCCTTGCTGTCTATTTCTGGCTTTTGTCTGTATTAGCTTATTACAGCTGAGGGCTCAAACAGTCATTCCCATAAACCCTCATAAAGGAAACTAGCGCAAAGATGGTGCTAACAATAGTGCATTCGGAAGTTTCAGGATGCAGGCCAAGAAATATGGAAGAAACGTTAACCCTGATCTAATGTTGAAACTAGATATTAATTGATGAGATGAATTGCAGCAAATTTATGATTTTCATACCATGTTCTCCGAAACCTGCAATCAACTTCAGTAGACCACTGAGGTCAATTTTCCATTAGCATCAACCTGAAAATCAAAAGTAAGGGGAAAAAAATTCCTGTTAGCGATCATTGCATACAATTAAATCTCTACTGTGTCTCGCCCGTTTTAGGCCAGGAACACTTCAATCCGATGCTCCAAGATTTGCACCATTTTTTAGATAAAGAGTCAATTTTATCAAACAATATAAAAAGCAGTTTTTATACATCCCCAGAACAGAATTAATTCTTCATAAATAAAAAATATGTCGAAGATTGCTAGAGCAACGTGACCTTTCGTGTCATGCCCACATGATCTTCAATGACGAAGTTGACAAAGACAAAGTAACCTCTGAACCTTTAGACACGTGGTTTCCATATGCATCAAACATCTTAAAGGTAAACATAATAAAAAAGTTAGCAAGAAATTCAAGAGCGGGACAATTACTTCCAAGTTCCAATATATTGAAAGTAGAGACTCAGCATAAATAAAGAATGACAAATATATGGGTTAAAAAGTCTATCTCCAAATTAAAGGAGCAACTTGTAAGCATTTATGAAGGGAGCTCACTGGCTACGACTTTCAGAAGTTATCCTGGGCAAAAGTATTCATTGTACCACTTGATTGCATTAATCATTAGAACGAAAAGCAATCAATGCAAGTGAAAAACAATTCCTTTCAAGATGTCAACAAATTAAGAATATATAGATGTGTGCCTGTTTCTACAGAAAAATTGAATAATTATGGACATATTAAGTTATTTTTCCGTGGTGGATGAAAATAACTATCATATTCCTACATGGTTGATTACATGTTAGTTCTCTAGTTTAACCAGCTCCACATGAGAAACAAAAACAATTAAAAACAGACATCAGGAAAAGGTAGCAGCATTCAAATTTACCTACCTCCAATACGAACTCCTTAAACACATAACCAGGAAGCAGCTGGTTTTTCACTATTGGTGACCGGAGTTCAACACGCTTAAGAGTGGAAGGCTTCACAATCACTCTTTCCTCACAATTTTTACAGCTTGATTGGATCTAGCAGGTTAAAATCCAACACAAAATATTGATTTGTCAATGACACATTTAAAATAAGAGCTTTTTTTTTTTGAAAAAAATAAAAGGTTTCCATGCCTTCTTACAAGAGAGAATGAAAACACGTAAGCACCAGCTTTGTGAAATAAATCAGGGAACTTGCATCCTAGGGGTAAGAAGTTATAAGCCATTAAGCCCTTATAAGCTCCTGATGACACGCGTTCTGAAAGAATAACATCCTGGGAATTTTTGCTTTCATTCATCCTTAAATTTGACTTCC